CAGGAGCAGTGGGACAGAAGGTGGCCCAAAAGCCCTTTCCTCTGGGCTGGGAGCAGTGGGAGGGATGGTGACCAGGAAACCCCTTCCTCTGGACCAGGAGCAGTGGGATGGCGGCTCAGAAACCCCTACCTCTGGGCCAGGAGCAGCAGAACTCAGTACTGTGGTCTGGTGGTCCAGTGTCCTCTGCGTCTTTGTAGTGTGGAACCAGGTGGCTGTACAGTGGAGCGGGGTGAGGGGGGTCCCCCCAAAATGTCTTCATTACTTTTTTCTACCTCTGTCATTTAAAATTACCTTCTGAGCAATTTTCTTATATGTTACTTTTGGTCTAATATTCGATTGGTTTTACCACCAGGCATACCAGGGGTAGGTACACGTGAGGCTTTGGGGACAGGGGACAATCCAAAAAACTGGGGACCACTACCAGGGATAAGAAGAAATACCTACAGGTGAGCCTTGCATAGTCCAGTTGTGTTGTTAACAAGGGTTTTTTTTTATTAATACATGTTTGCAATACATAATGTTTACATTCCTTGTGTGGAGTTGGTATGTGTATGTAACACATCTTCATTTTTTCATCCCCTCCCCCAATCCCTCCATCTCTCTCTTTTTTTTTTTGCTTAAATTCTTTTATTGGTACATTTTAGGTATACAATATGTTTACATTTATCATTGGGTGCTTGTACCTATACATGACGTATCTTGGTTCTTATTTTTTCAAAAGTAACAATTTTTTTTTTGTTACTTTGGATAGAACCTGGATCCTTACACTTGTGCAGCATGCGGCGAAGCCACTGAGCTAAATTCCCGGCCTCCCTCCATCTCTTGATCTCTTTCCCAATTGAGAAAAGTCTATCTCCCTACTTTCTCTCATCTATCTTTTATTTTACTCTTCATTTATAATTTGCATTTCTTTTCTTTTCTTTTTTTTTGGTAACAGGGATCGAACTCAGGACCTTGTGCTTTTGAGGCAGGAGGGGGACCCACTGAGCTAAATCCCAGGCCCCTATAATTTGGATTTCTCATGGAGTACTACTCTGCCATAAAGAAAGATAAACTGGGGTCCTTTGCAGGAAAAGGGTTGCACCTTGAGACCATAATGTTAAGTGGAATAAATCAGACGCACAAGCTTAACTATGACATGGTTTCTCAACAAGGATTTCTGACAGTTCGGTTTATTCATGTAGAATTAGTATACGTGGTATGATGAATAGGACTCTAAGGTTGTAAACACCTCTGGACTCGAAGAGTTAATTCTAGTCTCTGCATCTGGGAGTTACATGACCTTCTTCCTGGACTGGTGTGGGGAAATAATTTTAATATCCCCTCTCTTTAGCTGGAGTGGTGGGAGGTGAACATGAGAACCAAGATGGCAAAAGATTTCTCTCGAATCATGTCCCAAATCAGCCCATGATACAACCAACCCACTCATTCTTTTTTTCACAACTGGCAACAGCTGCAGATAGAGAAGACTGAAACAAGATTCTTCACACTCTGGATAAGTAGCAGGGATCTATATCTCTATCTCTATTTCTATATCTATCACATACAGATATTCTATGCAGTACATACATATTATATGCTATGAATATAGGACACACACATATGCACACAATTAAAAGCAGAGATGCAAATTTGAGATGTCCAGAAAGGAACTATTATACAAGAAAAACAACTGAGAAAGATGAAGGAGGAGACAGTGAGCTCATCCAGGAGTGTGGAGAAATATTCTAGAGGAGCTTTAGAGAGAGAGGGAATCTGGGGAGGCTGCCCCAGAGTGAGTTGGGACTATTGAGAGGAGTCGGAACTCATTTGGCTGTGTGTTATTCCACATTCTACACTGCTACACTGCTGCCCACAGTAACAGTCTACACTGGCATGGCTTTCCCTCATTTTTGGAGTCCAAATTGTGCCTCACTAGAAGCAGACTAACTTTTAAGGTGAACAGTTTTTCTTTCAGCTGAGATGCTTTCATTAACAAGAATATAAAGCCTCCTTCCCCCTGCCCATGACATCTGAAAACTAAAGTTGAATCCACTGCTCCACTCTCTGCCCCCACCAAGTTGGTTTTGATTGTGATCTAGATAATAGCAATAAATATTGTGCTGAGCACCGTCTCACCCCCACCCCGTGCCTATAAAGAAAGCAGGAAGATTTTAGTCAGCTGTCTAGTTTTGAAAAATCTTATAGCTCTCTGGGTCTCATTTTTGGTGTCTGTAAAAGAAGATGCTTGACTGGTCCATGACTCTATGCAACTGGACATTAGGTTCATTGATTGCCACACTTGTAGCACAAATGCATTTCTGGAACAGTAGTAGGTGCTGAACTTGTCAGAAATTGAACGGGAAATTGGGAGATAAGGCAACTTCTTCCTATAAACCCAGAAAAAGTGTATGGACCTTTATCACTGCCAGGCACTTGACTAGTTCATCAGAGACTAAGTTGTGTCCTTTTAGCCTTGTCAGGGACTCAGTCTTCCTCCGGATGCAGTCTCGATCATACCATGGAAACAGCAAGGGAGCAGGACTGCACTTCTTCCAATAGGAGCCCAGAGCCGTTCTTTGCTTCCCTCCTTGGGGCGGAAAATTCCATCCCAGTGGGCAGAAGCAGCCCAGTGCATAGGCTCTGCTCTGTGTGTCAAAGGTGAAGTTTCCAGTTAGCCTCCTGTGTTTCCGAGCGCATTGAAGAGCCCCTTCCTTATGACTGGCTTGACGGTTAGAGCTGTCTACAGGAGAGAAAAAGTTGGAGCATTTTAGTTTCTGTGACAATTATAGCTCATTGTAAATTTTTTTCAAAAAAGAGTATTAATATTGATAGGGAATTTTAAAGGGATAGAATGTAGAATGTAGCAGAGAATGTAGAATGTAGAAATATAGAACGTAGTAGAGAAGCAGAGAAGGGTGGAGAAAGAGCAGAGAATTGGGCCAAAAATTCTTGTTCTGTGACCCTTAGAGAATCTTTGTAGGACATGGGAACATGGGTTAGAGCTTATCAGCCTGCCTGTGCTGATGACATGTCAATACACTGGGTGCAGATGGCAGCAGTTGATTTGCTTTATGGTGAAAGTGGCATTTTTGCAATTCACCCTTGATAAAGAATGTGAACAATTTGTTAAAACTGATTTGTATTATGAATAGTATTTACTACAAATAAATAAATATCGTAGCATCCACAAACAAAATGAGTAAAGACTCATTTAAAATGAGAGCTAGCATGAAATGACTGGAGAACTACCTTTATGAGCACTGTAAAATGTCTACTATGTTGAAATATCTTTGTATTTATGAATTGACATACTTCCATATACTTCTGGTTGGACTAGTAATAATGATGGGAAAAACTCAAACATTTTAAAAGTCAAGCATTTTTCAGATATGAAGATATCTAACAAGATATGGAGCATTACAATTAATAGGAGGCCTCGTGGTTTGTAAAGGTCATTTAAGATGTTTTACAAGAATTATTGAATAAGTGTGAATAGTACTTATATCTGCTTCTTTAACCTCAAACTGAAGCTCTTCAAGGGCCATGAACACAAATACCCTCAATCAAAAAAGGCCACATGGCAGTCTACGAAGAATATAATTAAAAGAGCCCATTTTAGGCATATATGCAATTATTTCAAGATATGTTCATGATTTGCATTCAGTAGCAGGATTGGGTTATCAAGCATACAACTTAACACCCTTAGTAATCATATTAACTGAAATAAAATGTCCAGAATCTTCAGGAAGTTGATTAGTAATCTACATTTTGTACTAATTGTAGAAGGGCACATTATAGGTTATAAATACACAAGATAAAAATTCCAGGTTACTGAGTGCAAAAAATAAACTTTCGCATATTTTGAGAAGCACTGGTTGGAGCTATTTATAATACATTAGAGTGTACTAGCACTTTTTTGGTAGTATAAAAAGTAATAGAATCTTAGTAATATGAGGTCCCACTAGAGATATTTGCTATTAAATTGTTGCTGAGTGCGCTGAGGTTTGGGGAAGAATTATCGAGTTTGCAGATTAGCAAAGCAGGTTCTGGCAATGTTTTAAAATTGAATCAGTGATGCTTTAAAATGAGGTATATTTTACGGATTCACAATAAGAATTTAAAAATAGATGAAAAGATTGGTTTGTTACCCTCAAGTGATGTATGTTAATTAGTGCTTTTATGTAAACTGATTTCATGTTTGTCTACAGGTTTAAGCATATATAAGCCAGGCAGTGAGAGTGAGGCTTAGATCAGAATAGACTAATAGAAAATGAGGTATTAATTCTAAATAAGTATTTTCCCATTTTACACTTATTTGTTTGTTTCTGTATGTATCATTCAAACATTATCAGAAGTACAAACCTACGGTGGCCTAATTATGTGACACTAGTCTTCAGCCTGAATTTCTAGTTCTGAGCTTGATACATTTTGTTTCACCCTGGATGTTGCCAGTAGAATTTCTCTTCTCTCCTGGGTACTGTAATCCTTGTGGGGACACCAAAGCAGGGATATGTCATATGCATTCCTTTTTCACTTGCTGTGAGGAAACTTTTGTTTGTATCTACTGAAACTTGTTGAGTTGTGAATGAAATTGCCCAACATAATGAAGCTACTTGGTGGTAGAAAAACTGTTAGATCTACTTTCTTAACCATGTCCATCAGTTTAAAGCTTAAAAGGTCCATGATATGACAACAGCACAGTTATTTCTCCCTTTTTTGTTACTATATATTTGCAATAGAAAGTAAATAAATTCATCACAGGCAACTTGAAAATATACATATTGCATCTTGATCCTTTTTACTTCCCTTTCCTTGCTATTTCTCTCATTTCCCCCCATCCCCAAATTCCCAAAGTCTATCTCCCTGTTTCCTATCATCTATCATTTATTTGAAGAACATGGAATTCTTTATAGTTGTCAAATAACTGCTTTAATTATTTATTGCCCTGTGTTTTACCTTACAATTATCAATGGTGAGAAGACACTTACTGGAAGCTCAAAGAAAAAATTCTAGTAACTTGTTAGCAATAGTTTTCAGCAATTATCTCCAATTTGTTTTAAAATTTTTATTTAAACCAGAATTACTTTGTTACATATAAAGTAGTTAGCTTGTCTGATATGATTATTCAAAGAGCATTTGTAATTAATTATCATGAAATAGCTACTGGACAAAAAGTCTTTAATAAATTGAAATAATTTTATGATATTAATAATTATACATATAGTGGTGGGGCTTTTGTTAACTATTCACATTATTGTTACATGATAAATTTAGATATGCAAGGATTCTGAGAAGTTTTCCAATTTACCTTCTTGTCCTCAGGCTGAAGGTCTACCCCTTCCTTGAGGATTCTTTCGGCCTTACAACTTGGAACTTTCTTTGCTGTGAATTCTGTGTCATGTTTGTGCTCCACCCTTGGCATTTGACAGTGGTTTCCCTGTGCTGCGGTTTTGTGCATGTTGTCCTACTCCTGAACCAGACTGTCAGACCCTTCTAAGTCAAAGATTAGATTTAAACATTTTGATCCCCTTCCCCATATCCTTAGGCAGTGGTCTCCCAATAGAAGATGTTCAGAATACTGGGAGAAACATGATATAAATTTAACTGCTAATCCTTAATCATCTTCTCTTGATATTTGATCAACTTGAATTGGAACCTGTTAAAGATGCTGGAGATCTTAGAGAGGATCAAGTCTAGTTTCTCTATTTTTATAGATAATAAAACTGAGGGAGGCCTAGAGAGCAAAATCATTTAGCTCAGATAGTGCTAGTTCTCTGGCAGAACTTGGAACAGAATTCCAGTTTCATTCATTCCAGGTCCAGAACTCTCTTTTCAGAATGTCATTAGATGTCAAGAGTGGTGTATGAGCTACTTTAGGAACAAACTTCATAGACAGACTATACTTTCCTTAGGTTTGTTTATTTGAATGAATGAATGAATAAGCAAATGAATGGATTATTATAACTGCCTGAGATGCCAGCCCAGTATTCTTTGTATTGTATTTAGAGATTGGCAGCAGTTTTATAGTGCTACAGATGTACTCTGCTATCAGCCAGTGACCCTGGTAACTAATTTACAACACGTGGATAGTCTACATTCTCTTGAACATGTGTTTCTTACCCTTTTAATTCCATGTCTGTTGTGTTGCTCATGGTGGAAGGTTTGGGAAAGACATCTTCATCGTTCACTACTGATACAAATAGGGCAAACCAGGTTAGTGCATTGTACATCTGTCTCCATGGCGAGGAAAGGCTATTTTCAGCATTCTCAGACACGTAGCTAAGCAAGTCTGGGACTCTCTGACATTACATATATATAATTTCTCTGCTAAACAATGATCTTATTGAGTTTGCTGTTCAACCATGTCTTATGTTGGATCAGGGGTGTATCTGTTCAAAGCTCAGTTTCCTCATTTGTCCAGCTTCATGGTATTTCCTCAGATAGGAAAGTTGCCTGTCAGGCTTGACTGCTTTTGCTGAGACTGCTGGGGGTAGTTTTCAGTGAATGAAGACAATGTAGTGTTTTCATTTGTGACAGATGTTATCTCATTCCTAATTTTTGTTCAGGCTATCTTAAGGAAAAACACCACCCTATTTTCTTTGACCAACTTTAAAAAAAGATGAAAAAATCATTTCAATATGAATAATAATAGCGAAAAGCACATGACAATCTAAGCTTTTGAACTCTGAGACAGCTGGGGTGCCAGCATCAGAGTGAGTTTTCTCTAATGACTTCAGTGCACATGTGTGCACAATCAGGGTAGGCAGTGTGCTCTTAAACAGTCCTATGTCATGTGGGGAGTTTCCATTTCTTGACTAACTAGACTTTCTGGATGGGAATTGTCATCCCATCATGAATGGCAGGACGATGTACAGGGAGGCTGGCAAGTGCCTTTGCCATCACTTGAGACATTCCCTGCTTTTGCCTGCCCTAACTTCAGTGCTCTGGATTGCCATCTGGGCTTGGGGACCGGGAGATTTTGAAGACTCTCCAAGAAAGGAGAATGCAATGAATCATTTAGTATAGAAAACTTGATTAAAAGCTCAGTCCCCAAGAGCACTGAGATTAATTGGAAGCAGACTATTTGGACTTCACCTTTGGTCAGCAGCACAGGGAAAGTTACAGACTCTAAGAGGGGAGATGTGGCTCCTCATTGCCTTTATTGCAGGCAGTCACGAGAGTGACAGGAACTCACTGGGACCATTTACTGTCACAAGTGCTGGCTGTGAGGCTAAGTTCTGTGGTTCCTTGGTTACCTCACCTTGGCATTTCATGAAGAACTGTCTCACCAGTTTGAGGGCTAACAGAGTTGCCAACTCCTCCCACTCTCAGTTCACCAAAGAGAGTAAACACATCCAATCTCATTTTCCCCCTTATTCCATACATGAAGGAAAAATTTTATACTGCAATATGAAATGACCATAATGCAGGAATGAAATACTTCACATGGAATATACTTAAATTTAGGACAGAGTCCCTACAATTGTCTCTCTTAAAAGAAATTCTCTGCTTTTGCTGTGGACCTGTAAACATTCACACAAAATTGTGTTTGGGAAATCACTATCCTGGGGTGAGCAACACTGAAAAATTCCTTCTGCTCAAGAGCATAGCATAACTCTGTTCTTAGCTCAAGCTAGCTGCTGGGGCTTGCTGGGCTTTTAAAAATTCTTGTTGAATGTCAATTAGTACTGACTGGATCCTCATAGAGGAGTTTTAGTGGATATTGCTGGTGTTATCATAATTAATTAATTTACTCATTTAACCAATATGACCAGACCTAGGTTATGTGCTCGAGAAATAATATAAGATAAATTTGCTACTCTCAAGGAGCTTTGAACTCATGTTCAAGAGTTGGTTATTAAAAAAGAAAAATCAAAACAAAACAAAATGGAAAACAAGTATCCCTTTTTATGCCATCAGGACTCATATAGAATATAGAAGGAACTGTAAAATGAGTATTTGTCTATAGATCCTGAATATAGCTTTATTGAATGAGTCTCACTTTCTGCTTATTTTTTCTTTATAGTACTCAATAAAGCCCCATAAAATAATAATAAAGTAATGTAGAAGTCATTCAACCAGATAAAATTCTGACAATGAAATTCAAATAGCAGAGTCTAATGCTGTGATTCTAATGTGATTGAGGGGCATCAAAATAAAAAAAAACACAGCAAAAACAATAAGTGAAGCAAATAGGAATAATGAAGAAAAATCTTATGATATAAATTATTCTAACTTGCTTTCTGCAATGATAAAAATTAAGTAAACATTTAACAAATACCCACATTACTTTGAGCTATGTGCAGCCTTTCATTACCAAAGATTTCTTTCAGCTGAATAGGCTAAGAAATTTTAATCTTTGTTTTGAATAGAAAGGTATGTGTTCAAAATCTTACTCAAATTCAATTGTTTGCAAATTTAAAATGGAAAGGCTTTGTATGTTACCCTTCTGATTTAGGACCCATTTCAAAGAGACATTGCTCACTGGATAAATTACTGTTTACAATCCCAAAGCAAAACAAAGGGGTCTCAGGAAACTTTGACATTATCAGATATTTGAGATTGCGCTGCTACAATGATGAGTAAAAATAAATTCTTGGCTAATGAGTACATGAATTTAATTAATGAATTACTTTAATGATCATATTATCTTGCATTGTATATAGCTTTATAATTTGTAAAGTGATTTCACACAATAGCACTTTAAAGAAATTAACTGAGTATGTTGGATTTTACTTTAAAGCCTTGAAGCCAATGAATGTCCTTGGAGGCCTACAGGCCACAAGTGGCTTTGGACCCCTAGTAACATGGCCTCACAACATTGTAAACTTTTAATATTATCATCTGATTTTTAACAATATTTTTTATGATTGTATCACAAAGTGTTTGAATGCAGGCTGTGCGGGAAACAACAGAATGTAGAATAGGGGAGTGCTACTTCTGCCTCCTGTGCCCATCACACACAATCAGTGGAATGGAAACTCATGTGTATCAGACATTCCACCCTTGATGATTTGGCAAGCTCAAATTATGGAAAATAATTTTATGCATTTTGATATATTGGTGAGACACAATCCTGTGAACAATGAAAAATATGCAGGCTTGCTTTTGGTTTTGATACAGGGATTTGAGAATAGGTTTCAAGATTTCAAACAAAATAAATTATTTGACTTATCTGTGACTATATTTTTAATCATCATAAATACATTGCTTTCAAATTTTCAAATGGAATGTATAGAGTTGCAAACAGACATTCAACTCCAAGAAAAATTTGATCATGTACAGTTTCTCTACTAGACTTTTAAGAAGGCTTACCTTCCTAGAGAAACATATTCCTCATTTCACTATCATGCCTGATAGATGTCTTTGCTTTTTAACCATATATACATTGTGAACAACTATGTTTAAAGATAGTGTGCATTAAATAAGATTAAAATTCGATCAAGAATTTCTAATGAGCATCATGAGAACTCACTAAGAATTGCACCCACTTCGGTGGAAGCAGACATTGATGCATTAGTCTCACAAAACTAAAATCAAATATACCACTAGTTATATATTTATATTGCCCTTTTAAAATATTACAATAAAAATATTAAAATAGGGCCAGGGATTTAGCTCACTGGTTCTGCCTCCTGCCTCGCAAGTGGAAGGACCCGAGTTAGATCCCTGGTGCCAAAAAAAAAATTAAAAAGAAGTAAGTTTTATTACTTATACTCATTAAGTATATTATATGTTTTATATACAGCTTAAGACAATTCCTCCTCACTAAGTGCAGTGCGGGCAAGCCAAAAGGTTGGACACCCATGGCCTACGGTGAAAACTGAATCAGAAATGTGCTAGGAAATATAAATAATTAGAAAAACAGAAATGATAAAGTATATACAAAAAACTTAATGAATAAAATAAAAATAAGCCAAGGATCAAATAGTAGTTTAAAGCATCATACTACTATTATTTTCATGCAATCTATGACAGAGTTGACCCTTAGAGCAGAATTCTGCCTCCAATTAATGTTTACATGTGTGTGTGCATATGTGTGTGTATGGGTGTGTGTATACCCAGGCATGTATCATACAATTTTCTATTCATTCCAGAAAACTAAAACATCTGGAAAGTTACAATCAAGTATTGACACCAGATCAAGAGTAAAAGTTACCAAGACAGCAGCCATTTACCCTAAGTCTTTCATTTTTCCCTAGTTGGAGCCATGGTTTTGCCCCAGCTTAATGTCAGTAAAAGCAGTTGCGTGCAATTCTCCCAGATAATCCATCTGAAGAGCCCCACAGTGGCCCTTCATGAAACTCTCCCTCCTTGCTAAGGCTGTGGATGACAGAAAGGCTTTCTTGTGAAATAAGAGGCAAAAACACATGTGGTAACTCACTTCAAGTTCCCAGACACCCAAGTTCTCAGTTGTGCTCCAAGGACTCAAACACAGCCCTGATCATCAATTACAGTGAGTTCTAAGATGTGTCATGGGAAAGAACATTGCAGCTGCCCTGGGCTGATAAGTGTTACATGAGGTTTGATGCATGTTACGTTGGTAGTAAGTAAATTATTGAAGTCCTTGATTTTGTAGTTGTTGATTTGTTTTCTTGTACAGTTTTATTCATTAAATATACTTTCAGCAAGATGGAGTTATAATACACTCATGAGAGTTAGAAGAAAACTTTAGTTCAGTCGACTTTGGGGGTCAGGTTCATGTTTTGCTTAGTACCTAAAGAACTAAGTATCCTTAGGCAAATTGCTTAATCCTTCTGTGCCTCCGCTTCCTCATGTGCAGATATGGATACCAGTATTCCATCACATTTTTTGTTTTTTTGGTACTGGGGATAGAACTCTGGACCTTGCATTTGCGAAGTAGATGGAGGCACCACTGAGCTAAATCCCCAGCCCTGCATCACATCTTTATGAAGATAAGATGAGATATCTACAGGAAAAGTCATCATAAAGTATACAATGATGTTAAAAGAGGCATTATTATCACTGTTAATATTTTATAACAGTATTTTTATTATAAAAGTAATATTTGTTGTAGAAAATTTTACAATTATATGAGTTATAATGTCCTGACAGCACACCTGGGGGATACTTGTGTGTCTGCAGATCCCACTGAGTCTAAGCATCTGCCTTCTACTTATGGGGTTTGCAGCCATTCCTGTTCAGGAGCTGACTTGGAACTCTGTATGACCACAGACCACCTGTAATGCCTAAACTCCTAGGGCCATCTAAAGACTTTCACCCAGAGACTCCTCAGAAGAAACCAACCAGCAATACTAAAAGCAGTCCCTAAAAACTATGGGGCAACTTGTGTACTGGAAAGAGACCTCTGGGATGGAAACCAAGGGACAGATCTCCAGTCTCAATTCTCTACTAACTTTTCACGTTCTTGGGCCTTGGTTTTCTTATAGTGAAATGACCAACTGGAGCTGGATATTCTTTGAGGTAGATTCTGGGTAGAGTGTTGCTCAATCTATGATTTAGGTGGGTTCTTCAGGTACCAACGGGAACAAATGAGGAAAGTGAGACCTACCTAATGTCTTCTCAGGGCACTTCCCATAGTATTTCCAGGTGCCTTCGGGAATCTTGAACAACACTAAATGAGAGGGAGAAAGACATAGAAGCAGCTGTTGTTGGTAAGGGACCAAAATTTCTTTTTCCTCTAAAACGAAAAATAGCATGTCTCAAGGCATTTAGATGTTGCTTCAGACAATGGATTTCAGACTATATGGAGCTTTCAGAATGTTCTGGAATGAAATATTCTTAAATAAGAGTATCTGAACACTAACGTTCAGATTTGATGCTGGGGTACTTTAATCCTAAATAAGCAGCAGCTACTACACTGGTTAAAGGAAGCTTTTATAAGTGATTTGGACACGGCAGAATTTCCTTATTTAAGGCAATTTACTGAAAATTTGGGTCAGAACTGATAATAACTCAGTAAGTAGAGTCTTTTTTATTTGTTTGAACTTGTTATCAAGATCTCTTCTATCAGAAAATTGTGTTAAATATTATGATATGTTCTGTCAAAAAGTGGTTTTGCTTTCACTTTAGTGTAAGAACAGTATATACCAGACTCTGAATGACTTAGAAGCTTAAAAAAAGTGGTGATTAAAAATGAATTTTTAAAAGCATAAGAAATCTAAAAACATGAATTTTTTTAGAACATAATGAAATACAAGTTGAAAGGAAACTTGCCAAAGTGACACTGCTCTTATAATATTACTGGAATAGTCTTCCTGGGTGAATCAGTAATTCACTATTTTTTTTGAATTAAAGAGAAGCTGATGTACTGACATTAAATTCCACACAAATATTCTGGTTATTTAATAGTAATTTATTGTAGTTTTACTGGAAATTTTCTCCTCTTAGTTCTTAAAAGGTTTTACAGGCTCAATTAGCACCTTTACTTCTAATAATCAGTATTGATTTTACTGCATTCATATTAGATTTTAAAAATTTTACCTAGAACTCAAATCTTAACTATTTTTGAAGTAATATATCTCATTTAAAAAAACAGCTTAATTGAGGGACTTTTGTTGCCATCTGGAAAATGATAAATTTCCATTTATTCAGTTTGGATTCTTTATTCAGAAAATAAATTACAATTCTGGGTATTATGAGCTCTTTGCATTTGGAACTGTTGGCAAAATATTAAACAAGAATGTATGTATCATTTTCCAGTAACTCCTTAAAATTGTATAGCAGTGGTTATTTTTAATCCTATTGCAGATTCTGTTTTCAGCCTATTTATCTCTGTACTTCAATATACTTGATGTGTCCAGGAGTTGATTGTCCTGCTTACAACTTACATTGATTTTGCAGGGCACATTAGCTGGCTGGGGACCTCCGAGGTGGCCCCAATGTTATAAGATGTCCTCCTGCAGAGATCAAGAAACCATCAGGGTTGACTCCTGAGCATTCAGTGATCTGTGACAAAGAGCTGGAACTACTTTTTTTTTTTTTAACAATATCAGTTTTTCCCCCTTAGTATGCCTGGCTTTCTCTGACATGGGACCCACTGCCCTTGGAATGTAAGCATTTTACCAAAATCTTTCCATTAAATCCTGCAGATTTTGTTTACATGTTTCCTGTGATCTTGCATGTGGAATTCAATTTTATCTTCTTTTGCCATTTTTGGTTGTTTTTAGCATTCAGTGACATTAGTAGGAGGAAATGAACAGGGTTTTTGAGGATGCTTTTCCAGTCACACATTTCATAAACATTCGAACTACCTTGGGTTGGAGAGGAAATGTCTGCCTCAACATTAGTGATGTGATAATGGGCTTCACATATCACCTGGATGTTAATAGAATGAAATCACTTACTGCTTCTGAAAGCAGCTTTGTTCTTTGTGGTGTCCTGACAGCACTGTTATGAGCATAGTGGGCTTACTATCAGGGAGGTGAAAATCAGAAATAACCTAAGCTTCCCTTTACCACTGGTGTGTGTGTGTGTGTGTGTGTGTGTGTGTGATTGTGTTTGTGTGTGTGTTCCATTTCTATTTAATGAGCTCACTGATACTTAATGGAAATGACCAAAATCTAGCTAGTTTCATAAAGAGTTTCTGGGTCTACAATATGCTCTGCTCAGTGGCATGCAAAACTTCTAAAGACAGGGGACCTCTAACTCACTGCAATAGCCCATCAAAGGTGCAACTTTATTCTCTCATAACAGCTTTGTAATGGGATCAGCAGACGTACCTGCAAACTTTTCCCTGAGCTGTGCAGATGTGGCCATAAAAGAGTCATATATGCCACCATGTATTTTCTACTTTCTTTCAAAAAAGGAATTTGCTTTCTGATGATGGCAGAGTGGCTGCCATATAAAATTTCCTACAGGTGCATATTCACTTAAAGGAAAGCCAGTCTGTGAAAATCAGGAACTACAAAATGAGAATGATTCTCGGCCACTATTAATTTTACAAAAGCTTTTTGCTTTGCGAAAGTAAAGCCACAGAATAAAAGCCCTCTCCAGTGCATTTATGATACTCTTTAATTAATCAAAATTAGATGACAAGGTATTTTTCAGATAGACAAATGTCACCCAAATTAAGATGGATATTATTTAATAACTTGCTTTGCAGTATTTTTGGTTCAGAAAAACTCTAAACTGCAAATTGATTTACTGTACAATAGGTTTATTTAAAAATAGGTATGTATATTTTGCCTGAAAAAAATAGGCCTTGAATTATTGTTCACAAAAATAAAATGTGTGGTTTCTAAAACTTGGTTTTGAGGTTTTAACCTATTTCTCCTCTGAGGGCCATGGGCTTGTGAATAGCACACATTCTTCATATCACATTCACAGTCTAATCTGGTTTTTCTAGCAATCACTTGGATAGGTGTAAACAGATAAATAGTCACATACACCATTGATTGCTATGGCTCATTTTTCATCTTTTGAAATAAAAGCCCAAGAGAATTTTTGTCAGGATAAATTGGACATAAAAAAGTTCTCTTTTGAAGTGGATACTTTGAACATGGCAGATTTGTGGGGAATTTTCTTTTGCCTTTGACTCCTTTTAAGATCTAGAAGGCTCTACAAAATTGAAATTTTAGTATATGACTAAAAAGCGTGTTTATCTGACCCTGAATTAAAGAAGTGCTTTTGAACCAGGGCTGGGGTGGTTTTAGTTTTTGCAGTTTCAGATATATTATCAAGTTTAACAATAAATTTAAATATTATAAATTAGTTGACATTCCCTTAATTAGCCCCAGCTATATTCCTATAGAAATAGCTAAAATATGAATACTTACATTTATTTCCACATGCATCTAATTACATTATTATCTGAAATAATTCCTCCCTAATGATTCTTTGAACAATACTGCCTATGTTTTCCTCCTCTGCAGACTTTTTATAAATAACAGTCTACATCAAAACAAACAGTACATTCAGCAAGTGTTATAATATGGAGAAAGGTGAGTTGGAGAAAGCAAATGAACCAAAGCTTTGTATTCATAACAAGCTTCTAGACACTTTTAATGTGGAATGCACAATAGATGTGTACATTGTTCATTGGAGTATTTTAATATTTCTTTCACATAAAGTCATCCATCAAATATCCAAAGAAGGCAAATTACTCACAGAGAAGAATCTGAAGAAGCCCAGAAACACTGAGCTATATACTATAGCATCATGGGGATAAAATATACAGTGAATAATTATTGATAATACTACTAATAAAGGAAACACAGTTGCTAGATAAGTGATCATATTAAAAACAGGCCTTTTTTATTAAAGTCAAAGAAGAAAAGACCCTATCAATTCTGGTCTATCATCCTTATTTAAAACAAAAATAAAAAAACTCTCCTAGCAAATCCCTTTAGACATTTTAAATCCTACATAAGACATACCAGAATTAAAGAGCATTTCATGGGCTTTTGGATGGCATGACTACAGAATTACTATCCATTGCATTATAAGAAATGGCTTCCCCTCTTTCTAGGTCCCCCTAGTGCTCAGAGTCAATGTCTAACTCACTTTAACAGCTTAGGGGAGCTAGTAATGTCAGCTTTCCTTTTTCAAAGGAATTCTTCCATTCAGAGCATTACATTGCATCAAGGTAACATACATTGCTCTTTAGTACAAGTTTCTTTATTTTCCAAAATTCAATTTCTTTCCATATTTATTTCTTTAAGGACTACTTAAATTCACTGAAATAAAAAAATTCTTATACTTGCTGCATGCCATGGAGCCATGGGCATAAAAAACATGATGTGAATTCAAATACACATCCTTTTCCCACTCGTTTCTATTCTCACTGCCAACTTTGGCTCAATAAACAATGACCTTCAGCTTAGTATGAAGGAAGCAGCTAGTACATAATGCATGGAGTGGTGCCCCTCCAAAGAATGAAACTCTTCAGAATGGCCAGAACTGAAAATAGAGCAGAAGCCCTTGAAAGCAGGACACGAAGGCAAGTTTCAAATTCACCTGTGGTAACAACAGCAGCCACAGCTGAGTCAGAGAAATCATATCAAGCCCAGTTGTGATGATCATGTTAAAAAATATGACCCAGGAATAACTATGCAAAAATGACCCTAAAATTTAAAAAAATATGACCCTAGAAGATATTCATGAAGTGAGAGCTGGAATGGCCATAGAACTGAAGAAGAACTGAGATCATCTAATTCATTTCTTATTAAACACAATCCTCAGCTTCTCCAGCAAGAAAATGGAAACATTAATTCTTTCCACATTTCTCAAAAGTATGTTTCAAAGATTCAAGAATTTAAGGTTGTCAGGCTTGGGATTTAGCTCAGTGGTTTCCTCGTGCAAGCGCAAGGACCCGAGTTCAATCCCCAGTACCAAAAAAAAAAATTTCAAGGTGGCAAAGGATCAAATTGCTACTTATCAAAAAATAGAGGATCTGAGGAACATGATGGAATCCCAACATAGGAAACAAATGGAATCCATAAAACAGATACAAACATTTCCAAGAGATTA